TCCCGCTGCTGCGGCACCCGAAACACCGGGCGCTGCGCGTTGTCCAGCTCTCCATCACTTCCCTGCCCCTTGGATTGGTTTGATGCCATCACACCCCTCTCGGGGAGCGGCTCCACTTCCTACTTGAGGAACGGAGGGGAGGTGAGGGAAGTGTGGATAATTCAGACAGCTTCCCACGCCCTAAAAAATGTCCTTCTCACTCAAGTAAGCATTTGCACATACATCAGCTGCTAATTTTAGGATGAAGCTTTTAGCCATATTTCTTTTTTCTATTTTTTACTTTTAGCTGAAAATATATTTCTAGGGGAGACTCAGCCCCGACCCCGGAACCTGGTGCTGATGGGCACCCATAAAGGTGAAAATATTTCATCTGCCACATCCACCATCACTCACTCCAGCGCATTCCCACTGTAAGAAGAAGAAACCCACGGAGTGATGATCGAGCACAGGATGAACACTTCATGCATTTTATTGAGTCTGTTTAAATTTGCATTATGACATCTTACATAGGGAACAAACTCCTCCTAAATGTTAGCTATCAAACCTGCTCGAACCACAGTCCGATAACCTCAGAGTACCATTTGGTATTAAACAAGTCCAGTATAAACAGATGTAAAATGCTGTACAAAAAAACCCAAAAACCAAAAAAAACCCCACCCCAAAACAAAAAAAACCCCAAAACAAACAAAAAAAGCTGTTACATTCTCAACTGAATTCAGGGTTTCCCAACCAACAGCTGTACTGAGAGATAGTGAAATTCAGGAAGGGGTCTCAGGTATTTTAGCTTAAGGGAACAAAATCAGATAAAACAATCAAAAGAAATTCAACGGTATGTTTCCCTATAAGAAAAAAAAAAAAAAAAGAAAAAAAAAGAGATATTTCATATCAAAAACAGGTTGGGAAGCCCTGGTATAACAGATGCAAACTTTTCTTTTTTCCCACAACACAACTTATATGTACTTTGGGTAAGTTACCATTGATTCCGTCTCTTCACCCTGCTCCTTCCCTCCCTAGTCAAGGATAAACAAATTAAAAGCCTAGTGTATGTAAGGCTTGGAAATATTTCTGAATTTGTTATGAATTCCCCTAGCGTGGCTCCAAGCCAAGCCTCATCCCAAGCACCTCCTCCCGGGAGCAGGCAGAGGAGCAGGCAGACATTTCCGTAACGACTCCGCACCTCGTCAGCTCCACGCTTGCTCACACCCCTTACCCGAGCAACGCGAGCCCCTCGCGGTAGGAGCAAGGGTGACCGGTGAGAAACCCAAGCCATCGACAGCTCCATGCACGTACACGGTAATGAAAAGGATCCCAGACTAAAGATAACACTGCGGCTGAGCCCAGAGGATGAAGCCTTGTAGTGCAGCGTGACAGTGAAGATGATGCTGGGAGATTCAGAAAACCCCTCATTGCACTGCTAAAAATCAGAGAGCGATGCTCAGCCTTCACTGAATTTATTTTCTCATCTTATTACAAGACCGCTGGGAACCTCCTCTTTGCATAGGCTGGAAGATAAACATTGATTGCGGATATACCGGGGAAACAAGTTCTTTGGACTCTTCTGTATTTGCATAATCCAGACAAGTGACAGGAAACGGGAATGACAGTCATTATGGTCCATTGTGCCAACTTGGGTGGGAAATCCATCCGTTTACAAGTTGACACAATGGACAATTATGGCTCCATCAAAACCAGTATCATGTCAGCGCAGCTGCTGTGCCCACACATCAATTCTTCCTAGAAACAGTCTTTAAACTTTTAATGAGTGGTTTCTATGCATGCAGTACCTACACTAATCAAATCACTTTTAAAACAAGTCAATTAACTGCCTACAAGTTCTTTGCAAAAAAAACCCCAAAAAACCAACCCCAATGTGTTTGAAGAAATAAAATAGCGCACATGAAAGGGAATGCTAACGAATGCCAGGAATAACTCTTCAGTCTTCTAACGGATAAAGCCCCAATTAAAAGCCAGTAAGCACTCACAACTCTGTATCAGTTCACAACCTGAGTTAAACCATCAAATTCACTCTTAAATAAAATATACTGTGTGTTCTTCTGGGTTTTGGCTTTGTGACTGCTTTAACTGCCGTGTCTGGGAGCCCTGTGGACACGGGTCTGCCCCATCAGAAAGGAATGAAGCTCACGCACCAGATAAATATTCACAGCAGGAGGCTGAGTGGTTTGAAAAAACCACCATGATAACTACCGAGGTGGGCAATAACAGGGAACCTCCTTCAAAAATAAAATAAAGAAACAGCCTTGAATGCAAAAGAAACCACGAGGAGATGGAGAGTTATCCAGGCTTTGAAGGACGGCGAGGAGAGGCTCCCACATGGTGGCACTGTGACCCAGGCAGCTGAACCACCAAGGCTGGCTCTTGCCTCCTGGACTCATCGTTCTTGTACAGCCAGGCCTTTGAACATGACCCATCGAGCCACTTGAACCCTTGGCGTGGCTACAAGCATGAGTGAAGTGGCTGTACTCCTCCTGTCATACCAAGAAAGTGTCGCCTCAACAAATGCTCAATACCAAAATGATCCGTAAAGTGTGAATCAGGCTAACGGTGAACCTCGTTAGAGCGGCTTTCCTATTTTGTTAGCAACTGAAGTGTTCATGTTGGCTTTTCCTACCTTCAATCTAACTTTAAAAGAATAGAATTGAATTACCAGAGGCTGACAGATGACTCGACTACGTAAAGAGGTCTGCGCTGAATCAGCAATTTAATTTCTGTGAATTCCTCCAGGCACCAGGCAATGAACCCCCAGCGCCTTTACCAGGCTCAGCGCTAGAAAAGGCGTTATCCAACATTGAGAATGTTCAGGGTCTCCTGAACTGAGGTTAAATTACATGTTCTTGGTACCATTTGGGAAACCTCCAACATTTTTATTAGTTGCTGTTGTTACAGAAGGATAAAATGTTAAGGCATGCCACTATTAAGCTATAACAAAACTGTAAAGTTGATTCTACCAACGTAAACAGTTACCGGAAACTCGGAACATTAAAAAGAAAGTGATGTTGAATGACACGTATCACAGCCGTGCTTCACATTAATTAGCACTAGTGGGCTCCTTTCTTTCCAGTTCCCAGCTTTAGTCCTCAAGAGATGTACATCAGACTTCCAAAATCTAACACGGTGTCCACAGAGAGGGTGTTTTTTCCTTCTAATTCTACACTCCAGTAAATCAGTAAAGCTACTGGAACTGCAACTGACAGCGCGGATTTGCGATGTGAACGCTACTGATAGAAATTCAGAAGTGTTATTTTATTGAGGAAATTTTGGCATAGAGTCTCCAGCACCTGAAATTCACAGCTAACTTCCCATTTCACAGTGATGCATGCCAGAGAGAAAAATTCAAAAACATGAGCTTGTTTATTCTGCTGTTCAAAAAGAACACACGGATCCCCTCTGCCACGACGGTGTGTCCCACCAGGAGGACAGCAAGCTCCGTAGCCAGTCAGGGTTTCCCACTGAACCAAACACCACAAAACGCACACGCAGAAGAAAAATCTGTAATTTTGGGACATTGTGGAATCCTTAACTAGCTGATGAGATGTTAAAATGGCTTAGAGCAGAGGCTATAGCTTATGCAACCACCACTATAAAACACCAAAAATGTGTTTTAATTAGGAAAAAGAGATGGGCCAGCTTTGGTTTGGTTATTGGAGGAACAAGTGACATTTCCCATACAGCCAGCAAGAGCAGTTCATATCCCTTCAATACTGCCTTCCCTGTTGCACATGTAAGCTAGAAAAAAAAAATAAAATTAGAGAATAAACCAAAGACCAGGTCATTAACGGGGAATGATGTTTTCCCCTGACACTGATGAGAGTCGAGGTACATTGTCCAGTTCTCAATTTCAATATACCACACAGATAATTTCAAAAGTAAATTCAGCTCACTGTAATTTCTCCAATGGGAGTATAAAAGGGTTGCTGGGGTTTTTAAAATGTTATTCTTAAAATTGCCTGTAAAATTGGCTTAAAATTTAAGTGTACTCTCATAACCAATTATAATTTTCAGATTTAACCTAACACTGCAATGATCTTTTTTCCAGTTAATACTTCAGTTATTTGTCTATGGCACTAGAGCCACAGGCTCTCAACACGGGATATATCAGCATGTTCACTCAACAGATCCAGAGGTAATGGAAACTAATATAATTGAAGCTGGTAGTGAACAAAAAAAACAACCACCTGTCAACACCTGTCTGACGAATAGTTACACAGAGCTGCCTCAAAAACTGGAAGTCAACAGAAAAACTGGGCATAAACCTCACTGAATGAACGGGTACATACCGGTTTGTATTATTAGATATTAGTAACCATACCAAGAAATAACCAGCCATTAGAACAGTTTCTAATTTTTATCATATTTTTTGGTGTCAATACTGAGCCAAAACACTGCAATTATAACATTTAATTTCCTTTTTTTTTTTCAAATGCAATTAAGATGTCTAATTCAACTGGTTTTATATTACAGTAGCTGTTCACATAAATAGTACAGATATGCACTGCTCTTGACAGGTACACAGTCACAAAAGCAGCTCTCTTTTATTAAGTTTGCTCTCTGGGTGGTGGGTTTTGTATGAAAAGCATTCTTGATTTCTAAGCATGGTACAATTTTAATTCTTAATGTGTTAGTACAACAGTGCATTGGAAAAGTACTGAGCTTCTACAAAAAAGCTTTACAATTTTAAAACAGATTTTTTTTTTATTTAAACAAGCATAGGCAATTCTTATATTTCCACAACAAGATAAATATCCCAATTAAGCTAACAGCTCATCCTACAGCGTGCCATAGTGATGGGGAAAGGGCTAACATTAGTGTTATTTACACAGATATGTCCAATATTAACCCAATATGAAAATTAAATGTATGTTCAAGTGTGCAATTAACTTCATATTAATTTTTCAGATAGTTGATTTCTTGCCAAAATTCCTCTATGACTCATATACATTTAGTTGGGATGACTTCTCAGAGAACTCCTCATAAGCACAATCTTGAGGACAAAATGTTTATTGGACTGGGATGGCAAGGGCTGGGTGGGGGAAAAGAACTTCACAAAGAAAAAAATATTTTTAAGGGGGTAGATGTCTTTGGACAAGCAAAATTTAACACCCAAACTGACTAGATCTTGAAAACCCTAATTAAAGAAATTTTCAGATTTTAAAAGCTTGAATTCAGAAAAAATGCTTTAATGAGGGAAGATTCACTCCAAGTCATTACTATACATTGAGGTACCACTCAAAAAGTGGCCATAAAGGAAGTGACTTCTTTGCCCATCACTATCACACTAGCTGCTTGGCCATAAATCCAGATCTCATTTAGACAACACTCTCTCTGTTCCCAGAAGCTAAGACTGCTCTGCGACAAATGGGACAAGTGGAATTTTCTGATAACCAGCGATCAATGCAGTGGACATGATACTCATGTGAACAAGGCAATTTACGGAGCTTGTTGCCTTCCGTGTACTCTGTAATACACACACTACAGGTTTTCAGAGCATCGCTTTCACCAAAATTCCTCATGGCTAGGTTGTCAATTTGTTCTTTGGTGAGTCCTCTTGGTTGGTCATCGTCATCTTCATTTAGTAGGAAAAACTGCGCTAGGCTAAGGAATGGCAGAGAACCACTTTCTTCAAATGTGACCGATCCTCTCGTATTCCGACCTTCCCGTCTGGCACCAGATGTTGAACCACCTTCATTACCACCTTCATACACCTCCCCTGAGCTGACATCTGTACTTTCATTGCTTGAAGTGCCACTGCCTCCATTCTGCGGCTCAGAAGCATCCACGTTCTGATTTGAAGTTGGGCCACTAGGATCTGCATCACTATCACTATACATGAAGTAACTCAGCTCTCCGAAGCCTGTCATGATCTGCCTTAGCATAGTCTGAATAGCCACTGATGTAGTCTCACTCAAGCCTGTGTTTAAGATCCTACGGATAGGAATCCTAATAGTACTGACATAAGTTCTCACTCCAGCCCGTTCTGAACGTGAAAATGTGCGCCTAAACCCTCCCCGTTCACTTTCGTAAGTCACCGTGTTGTTAGGTGTCTGGGACCTGGACCGAGTTCTATTGGCTATGCTGTCTCTTTGCCGATATTCTCCCGGACGAACTCTTCTCACCTGAAGATCAAGTACTATGGTAGGAGGCCTCTGCCCAGGAGTTGCGGACTCACTGGTGCTGTTAGTTTCTGAAGAACCTGCTGCTTGAGGAACAGGTCTCGTTTCAGGGGTGGAAAACAGAACTGCATTTTCACTTGGCATCTCAGTCCCCACTGCATGTTGCCTCAATGTCACATGCTGCCTAGTTCTAGAGCTTCCCTCAGCTTCATTCACTGAGGAGTGGTCAAGTGTTTGAGATGATGTACTGTGATGAGACCTGCGAGGAGTCTCACTCACTGGATTAATAGGTGACCTACTTCTATCAGTCCTAGCCCGTGTTCTCCGCTGCTCTGGACTCCTACTTCTCGCTCTCCTCTGCCCTCTAGGAGGGGAAGCTTCCTCAGTTGTTAGCTCCTCTGAAGTGCTCCTCCTTTCTGATCCAGGCTGCCTTACAGATGGTGATTCAGACCTTGGAATTTCAGAGTCACTTTGGCTGTTTTCCAAATCCTCCCCACCGGAAGGCTCTACAGATGGCTCGTTCTCAGTTTCTGGATTTGTGTTCCCATTATTACGGTTGACATTTATTTCCAAACTGAATCTGAAATCACCACTATTTGGGTTAGTCCGGCTCACTGCTCTCCAAGACTGGTTTCCTCGTTGCCCACTTCGTGTTGTATTTCCAGTCTGTCGGACTGAATTAAGCCAGTCTATTATAGAATCTCCATTTGAAACATCTTCTGTGGACTCTGCACCTGCAAAAAAGACAAGGAACTACCAAAATTAGAGTACTGAGCTAATTTTGGAGTGATCTTTTCCAAGAACATAATTGCTTAGTTTAACAAGCAACAATTTAGAAGTGCTTAATCCTTTATCAAGTGCTATTGTGGTTTCATATGCAGCATCACAAATCTTATCTACCAGAGCTTCTTTTAAGGGAGCAGGAGTGGACTTTTTTCTAACATGTAGGATAGGCTGCAGCCATGACATAGCAAACAAGTCATCAAAATAACACATATTGTTTACTGTAAGTAAAAGGGAAGTCACATTTCAGGTGTCATAGCACATCAATATTCAATTGTTTTCCTTTCCAAACAATTATGTGATCTACCGACTGCTAAACAGAGAACTAAGTTTGTCCTGACCCCTCAACCTGAAGAATAGCTTTATAGCAAATCTGTCTCACTAACGAATGACCCCAGTGGTAAGCTCCAAGCATTCTCCACCAATCTCTATAGAAGGGCGACAACGAAAGCAATACAGCATCTTTGAAAGGGAAGAATGGTGAATAAAAAAAAAAAATAAATGAGGGATTGCCGAAAAGCATCCCAGAAGGGAGCAAACAGGAAAGCAATCTTAAAAAAAAATTCCACCAAACCTAAATGAAACTTTATCTTGATGCAAGTAACAGATGCATTAAGTGAAATCTGTCCCAAACTGACCTCTGCAGCAGATATCAGACACAACGTTTACTTAGTTTTGAAACAAAGCTCACCTTGCACCTGCCTAGGCTTAACTTGTTCCACTCCTGCACTCAAGTTAAGGTCCGTACGGAGTGCTAAAGTTAAGAGTTTTCACAAATACTGTATATACCTCTATTCTCATCACTGTTTTGCTGTGGCGGACCTTCTTTAACTTGGTGTAGCCTTCTCAGCAACTCTTCTTCAGTAATTTCACCTTAGAAAATAAGCAAAATTTTCCAAAAATATTTCCAAATCATATGTATGGCAAGCATTATCAAAAGCTTCTAAAGAAGGTACAAGCCACTGCTTGTCTGTTTTTTCTAATTAAATCCTGCCACAATGAGATTGCCAAACAGGCTGCTAAGGGGAAATTCAGACACTTCAGTGCCATTGTCCCAAGTAAGTTTTGCTGAAGCTGAAAGAACCAACAGTTTCAACCTATTCAAGACAGATGAGCTTTCTGGTTTTGTAACTTCTACAACTTATCAGCAATTTTCATCATCTTATACCAATTACCTGGCTGTCCAGAGTAAAATATTTAAGATAGCACCTTCATAAGCATGAAAAAAAAGGTTTAAAATAGTCGAAGTAATGTCTTAAGTTAGAACTGGTCCTATAAAGAGTCAATTTACAGTAATAGATCAATTGAAAACTGACATAAAAATGCCCATACAGAATCTTACACCAGACTACTTACCCTAGTTACAAACTCTTAACCTCACCAGCATAAAGTTTTCACACAGGTGTTTAAGGGAGATTACTTTTCGATCAAAAAAGTCTAAGGGTCCGTAACTGTGAAACTGTGTAATCTCTGGGTGTTCCTGTCAAGTTGGGTAAACACTAGACTTTTGTATCTGATGAATCTACATCATGCTAACTACCTCTCCACTTGTGAGGGGAGCACACAAATGTGAGTATGCACAAATCAGCAAGAAGCTACCTCCTACCATGGAACACAACTGCATCACAAAAACTAAAGGGGTGAAACAGCTTCAGGAGAACAGAAAATGACACAAATTGCCTACAAGCAATTCTAGTAAGAAGTACATACACAAGCATTACCTACCTGGTGTTCCTAGCAAATTGTTATCTCTCATAAGCCTGTAGTCCTCTTCACTCAGGTTGTTCACAAACTGATAGAAAGCTTCTTCTCGATCTAACCGATCTAGCTGACTCTGACGTTGTGCTTCTGATTGATCTATATTCCTTTTATCACTAGAATCTGAGCTTTCCATCTTGATGAATGGAAGAGTACCTAAAAAGGAGAAAATACATCCTTCATCCAGTGCAGTGAAATATAGCATGAAATTTAGGTATGTCTAACCTGTACAACACTTCCTTCTTATCCTTAAATTCAGCAAGGCAGGGAGTAGTTTGCTAACGAAGCTTCAGTTAGGATAAGCTGCATAACCACAGGGATCACAAATGAAATAACGATCAAAGCATGAACTTCTTCAATAAATACAAACAAAATCTATGCCCACTATTAACAAATACTCCACAAAGCAGCAAGTATGAACGTGTGGAATAATATCAACCATAACCCTTAGTCCAACTTTACATAGTTGACTATGTGTCCATGACTATCCGCTTTTCGGCGTAAAATATTCCTAAGTCTGCAATTGCCTCACAAATCACACCTTTATAGTCCATACAACAGCATAGTACAAAGGCATAAGCAAGCCATCCTTGATGTTCTCTAACTCTAAATGAGCATGGGATGAAGCATCCATCACTTCTTCCTGCCCTGCACTATGGTGAGGGAAGCAGGAATCAATCTAACTTAACTGCCTGCTACGAGAAACACCCTCTGTAACATCCAAGTGAATTTTAACGCAATGAAGGACTCAAATACAGAAGACAGAAGCTCCCATGGTACACCATGTGTGCAAAAAAATCCCACCAATCTAGACTACTAATTTCCTCAAAAAAGGAAAAGGGTTTGTAAAATCAACTTTGTAGTTTTACATCAAAAGAAGAATTTGCTGGCAAGTTACAGCATTTATTGAGTTACTGACATTGATGATTAGAATTTCCAGGACAAAACTCCCCAGTGTATACCAGGTATAACATCTGTCAGAGCTGCTCCCATTCTGTGAATTTTTTAATATAATCTTCTCCTCATGTTGTTTTTCATTTGGATGGGATCCTTGACAATGTGTCTTTCTCAAAACAAAAAAAATTATCAATTAATGCCATGTCTCTATTTGACAAATATTATACCAAATACATGCAAATACAGGAGACATTGTGGCACTAGTTGCACCATGCAAATATATCCAATTAAGTTAAAATAATAACTAGTTTCCTTAATCACTATGCCTTGCTATTCACAACATCAAGATTTTTTCCTGTACAACTGGTAGAATCTAGTTACTCAGAAAGGTAATTAGCAAGCTAATCCTCTGCATGCTAAAAAGCTCTGCAATAACATTCCCCATCAGAAAAACATTCCTTTCATTTAAACCATACTTCATGTGACATGAAAATACTGGAAGAATAAAGCTTTTCTGCTTCTCACTGGAAAATTTCCAACACTCGGACATCTGTCTAGTGCAAAAAGCATCTTTTTTTGGTTTGTCAGCACAGCTGTCAAGTCAAGACTGCCCACAGTTTACATTAGTGCTTTTTCACAGAAGAGCAGCACTGCATGATCTCCAAGGGTAGCTTATTTCAGCTGCTATCGTGAAAATTAAAGTGCACCCACAGCCTCAGTCAGTAACAGCAGAAAATTCCACTGGATAGGACATCTCATTCTTGTAGACTTGCAGATGATAAAATAGCTACTCCAACCCTCTGTCCTGAATTCTGACGCAGTAGAACTTGTTTTTAAGTTAGTCATATTAAGACACAAATGACTTCTTGTCAACCAGCAACACGGGATTGCAAGGCTACCAGTATCATTTGGTTCTGTGAATTTCTGCCATTTTACCAAAAACATTAAGCTTAATTTTCACTTTTTTATCAGTAAGCGGCAGCAATCCCTAGGGTTACTACCATTTCAAATGGAAGCCTATCAGCTTTCTCTGCGTTGCTCAATCTCTGGTGGAATCCAAAGACTTCATGGCCTGTCTGAAGACCTGCATGTGACGTGTTGTCAAACACACTGACAAATGAACCCATTCACGATGGAAGTTGGGCAACGGTTTCAGCAGGTATGTTCTGCTGAGACTGGGCTCAGTTATGAAATCTGTATGCCCTTCAAATCTCAGACACGTACTTCTAACGAGAACATAGCTTGCTTGGAACTCAATGTTTTACAAGCTTGCTGTAGCAGAATTACGACTCCAAGTTAACTTCACTTAAAGACATATTCATTCTAGAGAAGAAAGCAGAAAAACAAAGACAGCTGCTTCTAAAACATCTGAATAAAACCTCAAGTAAAGACTTGCATCAAAACAGAACCTTGAAAGATGCATTAGTTCTCTGGGGATACACATCAAAACTCTAACCGGCATTCCCTTTTTGAGGACAACAATGAAACAAAGCTGAAAACATGATTAAGAAAGTAAGGGAATGTAATAAGATGCTAAAGGGACAGGAGCAGCATAAAGTTTAAAATATTTTCCCCCAAATGACTGACACTTTGGTATTTACTGACTTTAAAACACATTGAATAACTTCATAAGGACGACAATATTAAGATACTTGTGAGCATTACAACCAAGCTTTTAAAAAAGAAAACTGCACCATGCATACAAAGCATGACATTTGTTTACTGCTTATGCTTTGAAATTTTCCTTTTAACTGCAATTCCAGCGCTTGCAGGCACCCCAGCCATACAGTGCCTACTTGGTTCAAAGACATTTGCCCATCCCATTTCAAAGATGAAGGGGAACCATTCTTGGTCAGGGAAAAAGGGAGAGTCAAAAGAAGTGAAGTGGGAGGGGAAAAATAATCTCTTCTTTACCAACAGACTAATGTACTTCAGTAGGCGGTCCTTTAGGAAATGCTCTGAAGAAATCAAAGTTGGTCTTACTTATTTCCAGGTTTTCTCATATCTTCCCTCCTAAACCATGAAATCAGCTATTGGCCAAGACTGAAAAGATGCTATTACTAAGAAAATTCAAGATCCCCCCTCTGAAGCTTTTAAGAATTGAATTTGCATTAGGACTATTTCTACTAGTGACAATCTCGCTGTATTTTCCTACTGCAAGCCACTCTAACAGATGCCACTGGCCCACTGGATCTCAATTTCATGCTGTTCATATTCAATGTGCTGGAACTGCTACGAATCTATAGGGGATGCTCTGCTGGGTTTGGCTGGGGTAGAGTTCATTTTCTCACAGTAGCTGCTCTGGGGCTGGTTTGGGTTTGTGCTGGAAGAAGTGTTGGTAACAGAAGGATGTTTCGTTATTGCTGAGCAGGGCTCACACAGAGTCGAGGCCTTTTCTGCTCCCCACCCCACCAGCAAGTGGGCTGGGGGTGACAAGGAGCTGCGAGGGGACACAGCTGGGACAGCTGACCCCAGCTCACCAAAGGGATCTTCCAGACCATAGGGTGTCACACTCAGCATGTACAGTTGAGGGAAGAAAAAAGAAGGGGGGACATCCAGAGTGACAGCACTTGTCTTCCTGAGTACCCGTTACGCATGATGGAGCCCTGATGTTCTGGGGGTGGCTGAACACCTGCCTGCCCATGAGAAGTAGTTAATTCATTCCTTGTTTTGCTTTGCTTGACTGTGTGGCTTTTGCTTTACCTACTAAACTGTCTTTATCTCAGCCCCTGAGTTTTCTCACTTTTACCCTTCCAATTCTCTCCCCCATCCCCCTGTGGGGGTGCAGAGCACTGTGTGGTGCAGCGTTGCCGGCTGGGGTTAAACCACACCAGATGTTTACATTGATGGAAATACAGATGGCAGACACATAAATGCACATCAACACGTTCTCCCTACCTTACAGTTCATTGACAGCAAATGGGACAATACTCTTGAAACCAGAGCTCTAATATTATAACCAGTAAATGTAAAACAGGATTTCTACCCCAAGGCTTCTGCTACTCTCCCTCTCTCCACTGTCCACACTGAGCATTCTAGCTTCACCTCCCACACCACTGCACACCACAACATTACCAGCCTGAACTTACTGGATTATTTAGACTACTACTGCCTCAGCATGACTCCGTAACTCCTATCTGTCCCTCATTCAGGATTCTGCTCTCAGCTCATCCACTGCAGAAAATTAAAGACTGGCTTAAAGAAGCTGACTACAGTAACACAGGGAAACCTGATGAGGGAAAGCCAACAGGTGTACTATGAAGTTACAACAAAATAACCAACATTTGATTATCTAATAAGCAGGTACACTTCAACTCTGTTTCTCTTTCTTCCAGTGGTTTAGTTCAACTCAAAGTAAGCCTTTGTTCTTATCCTAGTTAAAAGATTCAGCATTTCCTTCTTTAGTGTCCTTCCTTGTCAGCACTGAGTTGACAAAGGGTGGGGAAGGTCACATCTACAAGCAGGAAGTGCAGAGCTATCGATTATTGCCAACTTCAGCTGACATAGCCAGCAATGAAAGTCTCTTTCTGGGAGAATGGGGTGGGGACAACATCACCTAAAGGTGGCACAAAACAAGAGAACCATAGCTAGAACAAACTATTTTCTCCTTAAAAAAAAAAAAAGGGAAATGGAAATATTCTTCAGCAGCAGAATATCCAGACACATTAGCCACAGCGCATTCTTAATTGGTGTTCCCATCCTTCCATAAGTCAGCGAAGTATCCTCCCTGCAGTTACGCCTCAACAATCTCCAATATTTCAGAGCACAAATGAGTAGCTGTCTCTCCACTGCTGCGAGAGACTGCAAGGAGCAAAAGCAGCAAGCCCACAAAAGGCATTGTTTGTTACATTCTTTTATTCCAGAGGAAGAATATTATCTTCTTTTGGATAGGAACAATTTAAGAGTACTAGATATTCCTTCAATAACGCAAAGTTACCATTCTTACAGTACAAGAAATATTTTATATTTTCCCTTATGCCAAGTCATGTGTAAACTAAATCCCATCAGTCAGGAATTTATTACTGCTTAAAAACAATCTAGCAGAAGCAATGATAAAATACTAGCATCATCCTTTTACCTTCAACAACACCACTCTATCTACACACTGCTTAGTACTCATGGATTACAGAATTCTTCCCAGGCCATAAGGCACAGTAATAAAACACTAGCTCTTCCTCCCTCAAAAATGTCTAATATCTCCTGACATCAGTTAATTGAACACCAAGACACTACCTTAGCGTGCATTA